CGACGGCTTGGTCAGCCCGGTAAAAACCGTCAGGGGGGACAGTCTGCCCCCCTGGCCCCCCGCCTGTTACGCCACTGCTTATAAGATGAATGGGAATATGAATCATGCAAATCTGGAATCAAATCTAGGTGGTGGGGTCAACGTTCCGCCCCCGGGAAAATTTTGATTTCTAGATGGCGGGAAATGACCTTTCTCGACTTTTGAGTTAGGTGTCTAATTACTTTGTTCTTCAAAATTCAAGGTTTTCCCCCTCATGAAAACGGTAAGGTAAACTTTCTCAGCAGTCATACAAAAATCTCCAGACATTATATATTTTTCGCCAAAAAGTGGGGGGGGGGGCCTCCGCCGGCCATGCCAGAGGCACTGTTTGGCTGAGGTCAGGCAACATAGGCCTAGCCACCGGAGGCCTAGGCCCTAGAATGTAAAGTTTGTTTGTGTTGGTCTGAATGCGTTCGTTGATTGCGATCGGGAGTAATCAGTTTTGGATTACCACCGATTACATGGCAACCGATCGCAAGAGAGTGTAGTCTGAATAGGGTATAATGATACGTACGTTACATACTACAGTCAAATAGGCCTTGTTAAAAAAAATCATCAAAATATAATCGAGTTTAATTCAACGAGAAAAAGAATGGCATCAAGAGTAATAACATACTAATTAATATACAATTGTCTATTGATAATTATTGAAAAGTTAGTCTTAATAACATACGTAATCTGATGAAGATCCATGCATTGATAACGGATCGAAACATTACAACCAGTACGTACTGTATATTATTGGTATACTTACAAGAATTTGAACATGTGGATAATATATTAGAACGCCTACTTGGCGATCCACATAATAGTATACTATAGCCATGTATGCGATTATACCTCCGTGTTAACTGTATAGGCCTATCAGAAATTCTATGGCTATAATTTAAGCAGATTCAAATGCCATATTGACAATGACATTTAGGATGGGTCAATGGGTTTATTATTACTGTAGTATGCATTCGGAGATAAGGTGCAAAGGCCTTATTTGCTGACGTCCTTTATTTGCATGTCAAATCTTTATAGTAAAATTTCGTTATTATTTATTGGTTAAGCGTGACTCATGGAAATGCCCTCGTTTATTTTGGGCTGCTAGTTCTCGGTGTATGTTTATTACCATTGAATATTTAAGGCGTTTCTATTACTCCATATAGGACGATATATTTTTAAAATACATTATGAAGGTTCTTTCATCCGAATGTATGCATAACACAAGGTTACTAACTCTAATAAGCCTAACATTTTATGTGAAGTTGACAAGTACAGCACATCCCGGAAGTTCGTATGGGGACAATGTAGTTTTTATGGTAAGTTTGAGAAGACTTAGCTCAACCACGTATAGGCTTGTACAATAGCAAATAATTATATAATGAGGCATACGTGGGCCTAGCAATGGAGGAAATATCCCTCCATGGCATGGTCCAGGCTTGTACAAAAATACTAGCTGGAATGACACGTTTATCTATTATTAGGGGCTGGTTTGTTATACATTTGCGGATAGATAATCAGAACAGAGGAGAAGTGGCTCCACTCCTGAGATGCAGAATTTACTTTCATGTTCCCCCTTTCGTTCTGAATGAGCCAGTACGCCTCCGTTCTGAAGGGGTCGCAACGGGAGTATGGATATGTAGGCCTACATGCTTCCATCAAAGGTGTGTCAGGATTGACAGGCCTGCTGTGTTGATTTAGCAAGCAAATTCATTTTACCAATTGAAATATAAATGACAGGCCAGTGGTTGGCTTTTAGTTGATACAGTAATATTAGGCCCTACATCAGGTATGGATTAAAATCTCAATGATCACAAATAGTGTTATGGGGACGAGGTAGGTCTACACCACATCGAGAGATAACACAAAAATGATAAAAAATTGTCCGTATTTATTCTAATAAACGCCCCGCTTTGAATGAGCACCTCCTCGAATAAATGCCCTCTCCAGAGTCTCATTTGGGAATAAACGACTTGGGGGATTTTTTTTTCCTCAAATAAACGTTAACCCCATGTGTATAAGAGACAGCCCCCACCCTTGTCCATTGATGGTAATTGTGTGTTGTATTTCTACATTTATAATGAAATTAAGGGGCGTTCATTTGTCCGTTTCACACCAAAAAAAAAAAAAAAAAAAGCATCAAAAGCCCTTTTAAACAATAAACGTTTATTCGAATAACTACGGTATTACTATCATTTACAACAGAAAAAAACGTTTTATCGATTGAGCAGTGTTACTTAATTTTAGTACATTATATGTTATGTTAATTGTATTAATTATCAGCATAACTATTCATTCGTTTATTTCCCAGTATGAAGAGAAATCGGCGCAGTTTAAACCAAGCTGTAAATGCCATATAGAGGGAACTGAAACCTCACATTTCCACAAGTTGTTCAAGTTAGAAGAAGATGGACCAATGTACGATCTATGCTACGCAGGGTCATATGTAGCTGAAATAACCCCAACCAAAGCTGTTTGTAAACCATGTATAACTGGTACATATAACCCATCTTCAAATGCTTGTTCATATTGTCTGATGTGTCGAACATGTGGAGAATTTGAAAACGTAAGCTACATGATACGAACTATCTTGGCATATAGCACAGTTTAGTGTAGTTTATAAGCTTCAATATCTTAGTATTATTCATATGATTTTTACCGTAATGGCAAGACATAACCTCTTATAATCATCATTACCAGTACCATTATTATCATCATTATGATAATTATTTTATAATAATATTTATTATTATTATTATTATTATTATTATTATTATTATTATTATTATTATTATTATTTATTATATTATAATGATGATGATGATGATGGTAATAATGATGATGATGATGATGACGATGATGATGATGATGATGATGATGAGGATGATGATGATGATAATATTAGTGTTCATGATTTGGACGATATAATGGTAACGTTCTTGGTTGGGTGGTAGTGGTGGTGACAATGGTGATAACGACGATGAATGATAAAAATGAGGAAGAGGACTATGAGCATGATGGTGATAATGGCAGAAATGACTGATGATGATGATGATGTAGGCCTATAATGACAATTATTATCAGGTGAAGACGATGTTAACGATGGTGTTGATGATAACGAAAATTAATGAATTTGTTTATTTATGTTTTTAACTCATTGACCATAAATTTAATTGAATAATATTGTGAAGATTGAACATTGGCGGATGTCCTGACAACCCCCGCCCACTTGGGCAAAGAAAAAAAATGAAATAAAATAAAATAAAAGATTCTAGATCCTTTTCCGGACCCGTGAGCTGACATTGTTTTTGTTACAATGGGAAAATTAGAGTCGAGAAAGCTCATTTCCCGCCATCTAGAAATCAAATTTTTTCCGGGAGAACTCCCGATCCCTTTCTCATTGGGGTTCATCGATCCATGGAATCGTTTTCAAGAGGGGGAAATCTTGAATTTTAAAGAAATTAAAAGTCATCAAAAGACACATCAGAAGTCGGGAAAGCTCCTTTCCCGCCATCTAGGAATCAAAGTTTTCCCGGGGGAGAACCCCGGACCCCCTTTCTGTTTGGGGTTTATCGATTCATGGAAAAAAGAATACGTATGCAATCACTCAA